CAGGAGACTTTTCATGCAGTTCCTCTATTGGAGAAACTATTTTCCATGAAGTTACCCAATTGGAGATGTGGGACTGGGATGGGATGGGGGCAAAAAAGTGTTTTCTGTGCACAGGAATCTGTGGAGTGGGGAATAGAATGGAGTATTTAGTTATGTAGACCTTTGTCTCCCACCATGCAAAGAGTACAGTCCATTCCATATTACCACCTTTTAAGATCTTTATGAGGGCCAGACCATTATTAGTAATGTGTTCTACTAGTGTGTGTACACTGTAGAAATAATGCAGTTTGACACCACTTTAACTGCCATGGCTCCATCTGACCTAATTCTGGGAGCTGTAGTTTTGTGAGGCACCAGCACTCTTTGGCAGAAAAGGCTAAAGACCTTGTAAAACTACAGACTCCAGGATTCCATAGGATGGAGCTACAGTGTAGATGTACCCTGACCTATCTTTGTCATGTTCTCAAAAACTAAAACTAATTACATAATTAAATAATTAAATAAAGGGGACTAAAAACAAACAAATAAAATGCATATCAAAAGAAAGGTACAATAAAAATAAACAAATATAAGACTAGCAGATGGACCCTCCATCTCATGAATCAGTGGTTCTTGTTCTGAAGTCTGTAAGGGAGTTTGATAAGTGAAATGGCTCTGGCTTGGATGAAGAACCAGGAACAGTGTTGGTCACTGAAGAAATTCTCCTTATTTAAAAGTAAAGGACCATATCCTCCTTTGCACTTGGTCATACTCCTTGCACTCTGACATATGGAAGGATTCAGATGGATGGGCCCTAGCTCAGTGGTAGGGCTCATGCTTTGGAAGCAGAATATCCAATTGCAGGCATCTTCAATTAAGGCTGGGAATCAGTCTGAATCCCTGGTGAGCATCTACCAGTCATTATGGCAACATCCAGATTCATGGTCCAATAGTACTTTCACAGGCATTTTTGGAGTAGCATAGGAGAGGGCCTTCTCGGTGCTGCTCCCTGGCTTTGGAATTCCCTCCTTAGGGATGCTAGAACAGTTCCCTTCTTACTGTCCTTCCATCAGCAAGTGTAAACTTCTCTATTCCAACAGGCTTTTGAGAACTGACTACAAGGGCTTTTAACACTAGTGCTGTTTTATTGACTGTTAGCTTTTTGTCTTTTTAATGAGATTGTTTTAAAAGATTTTGATTCTATCAATAGTATAATTGTATTTTAACAATAACATTTTGTATGTTTTTATTTCTGTCTCTGTATGGGCTTTTATCGATATTTGTTTTCAAATACAGTAGGCTGCTGAGTTATAGTTTTAGGGGAAAGGTGAATTATTCTGAACAGGCTGGTCATAGTACAATTCAGCTTCCCAAGAGGCACATAGGAATTGCATCTCCTGAATCTTCCTCTTCTAGATAACTATTAAAGATAAATAAACAATTTCCCTTTAAAAACTAAAACTTAAAACCAGGATCTATGATAGTTAGTGTATTGTGTTGCACCTTTGATCAGATGGATTCAGCCAGGGGTGCATTCACTGCATGACTTTGGGGCAGACATCTGTGGCTCAGTCAGCAAAATTAATTGTAGGGTTCCCAGTGCAGCAGACATGACTTAATACAAAATAAAACACATATTATAGTCTAAATACCCTTTACCCATCCAAGATTCTTAAGTCCAGAATCTAACATTATGGAACTGTACATGGTGATCCTGAAAGAATGGTGCAAAACCAAATAAGAAACAGCTTTAGTACTGCACCATTCTTATTTACTATTGCATCACCTGGTACTACTGGATCCATCTTGAACAGAGCACATGTGAAAAAACTCATTGATCCAAACCAAAGCAATATCACTCTTGTTTTGTTTCATTTGTTAAACTGATATACATTCCAACTGGCAAGTGGCCTCAGGATGATCTACAATCCTTTTTATAAAGTCCATCAATAAAATTTAAACCAAAGCAATGACCTAATTTCAATATTAAAATGTGAAAATATTTTTAAAAAATAAAAATCCATCAATAAAACTGATAATATATGTATTAAAGGTTAAATGGCTTTTGAAAGAGGAAGAACTTTGCCTAGCATCTAAATGTAGTGGTGGCTGGTCATATCCATGTCATTAGGAAGATGATCCACTCTGAACTCTAAAGGAATTACCCAAGGTGCTGAACCCTATCCCCAGAATATATCCAGCACCTTGAAAAGCTCTTTTAAAGGTTAGGCTAACAATAGATATATGCTTATGTGGTAATGGATGCTGTTAAGATTTAATAATACTCAAGGAGATTAACCTTTGAGTGCCTGTGTAGGTGTAGAAGATGTTAGAGATGTATATTTCCTGAACAAAAAAGTATGAATACATGAATGAATACAATACTAGCCTGTAGTTAAGGTGGCTGTGAATATGATCCCAGGGACACATTTCTGTACATGTAGAAGCCTTTGTGAAATGGCTGTATAATGTTTTAATAGACACTATGAAAATTATGAAAGAACCTGATGACACTGATAGATAAAAGGTTGAAGTAAATGGTTTAGAGGGCATTTTCTATAGTTGCCCCCAGATTATGGAATGGCCTGCCAGATGAGATCTGTCTGCTTACATCTTTAGACAGCTTTAAAAAGGCTATTAAAACGGATCTCTTCCGGCATGCTTTTCCAGGATAGATTTCCAGGATAGATTCCTGCCTCAGTAACCCCTCTTAGAGAAACCTTCCAGGAACTTTCCACTTATTCCGCTGCCTAGTCAACTTGTCACTGCTGGCTTTTCTTATTGAGTTATCGTTATTGTTGCCTGTTTGTTTTAATTCTGTATGGTTTTAAATTTTAGCTGGTTTAATACTTTTTTAAGGGGGGGAGGGTATAGGGGTTTGAATGTATCTGTACTTTTATTACTTGTGAGCCACCCTGATTGAGCTCAGAAAGGCAGGGTATAAATAAATTTTATTATTATTAGTAGTATTAGTATTAGTAGTATTTGCTATTACAAAGCCTGTTAAAGAGATACAGAGATAAAAGCAGTCACTATAAAAGTGCTTATGAAAGTGTAACATTAGTAGTTAAGATGCCAATTCTGATGATCGGAAGATCAGAAGGTTTGCAGTTTGAGGCCCAAGTGCTGCATGATGGGGTGAGCCCCTCTCATTACCCCTACTTCTACCAACCTAGCAGTTCAAAAGCATGCAAATGCAAATAGATAAATAGGTACCACTTCGGTGGGAAGGTAATAGCATTCAGTGTAGTCATGCTGACCACATGATCACCAGAGCAGTCCTTGGAGCTTAGTAACAGAGATGAGCACCATCCCTGCTGTCGATTATGACTAAACCTTTATGTCAAGGGACTACCTTTACCTTTACCTTTTTAATGATGCTTTAAATGCAATGCAATCGAATGGAATGAAAATTAGTATGCAGGCATTAACATGCTTATTTCCCAAAAGGAAAATGTATATGTTTGTATATCTGTATGTAATGAATGAGTGGGTTCCGAGCTGACTGTATGGTCCCAAATCAGAGAACGTGGCTGTGTGCAATGCACTGATGTGGAAAGAATTTGAACATTGAAAGCGAGAAATTAAAAGGAATTTTGAGTTGGCCGGAGCAGATGGAATTTGAAAAATTTGTACAAACAAGGTGGGCTGGACACTCCAAGCTGCATCAACTGATAAGAACTTGGCGTAATGGTTCAGGATGTTTTAATATCAACAAAGATAAGACATTGGTATGTTTTGAAACTATGGAAACCAAGGAAAAACATGTTTTCGTCAAAAGAAAGATGAACAAGGTATAAAAGAAATGGTCTACCAGCCTTACTTTGTTGGCACGTACCTGAGCAAGGTGTCAACCCAACCTTCATGAATGTCTGATCAACATTCAGTGGAGGACCTTTGTGAATATGTTGTATGAATGTGTGTGCCAGAGCTCTTGATACTTAAGTGTTATGTCTTAATAAATGTATTAATAAATGTTACATGCATAGTGTTTAAACTAGATCTGGTTTCCTACGTGTCTTTGTTGAAAATCCTATAGTCTAGGGTGGCTAAATTTCTTTCTGGATCAAAAGAACAACATAGAACCTAGGTTCATTACATATATATTCCCATATAATAAATAGCCTAAAATAATATCAAAGAGTTTGTTCATTCCCCATTTACATATATATCCCGAGACTCCTATACTTGAGAAAGCTTGAGTGGAGTGTTGATGTTAACTGGGCCTGTCTAGTTTAACCACAACCATGAGATGGGAACTCAGGTGAACAGAAGCTGATAAAGGTGACCCCAGACAGAATAAAGATTACCTGAAAAGTGGCAACGGCCCTCAGTCCCTTAGTCTAAAAGATGGGGTGAAGAACCATACCTGTTTCAATGTGCAACATAGGAGAAAT